CATGCACAAACCCTCATATGAGTCCTATCTGGAAGAATATAATCAAACAAATGAACCATGCATTTATAGAAAGGTTTCAGATTTCTATCACAGGCTCCAGTATGGCTTAAGAAAAGAAGGTTCCAACATAATCCAAAATAGTAAAATCTTTTACCATAGTCCCCTGAAAAAGTTGATAGAGTACTAAAAGGACTAATTTTGTTCTAGAAGACTAAAAACACTAGCATACACTAACTGTTAAAAACGACCCAAACTGTGCAAACATCACCACCCATTCCACCGTTAACTTACCAAAATGGCAGATAAAGTTCAAATAGACATCATAACGCTGGCGAATGTTTACTTACCATGCTCATAAATTCAATAACACTTCTCTCAAGAGTCTGTATCATATTTCATTCTTACTAACATCACTAATAGTCTCTCTGTTCCAAACCCAAGTCCCCAATTACTCCATATCTACCATGTTCAACCCTCTAACATTAAGTACTATCCTCAACAATTCTAAGTAGCCCTCATGTCTTAGCAACAAGGATCAGTCCTCCACCTTAAAATTAACAATGCTTCCTCTCCACTAGTGTACACCCGAACCTCGCCCCGCCACATAGTAAGAGTGCTTCCCATAGCAAAATGTAGACCTACAACAAGGTTTCTGCTTCACAATATAATCTCCCTCCTTCCATCCTTGTTAAAACCCACTTAAATCATTACAAATGTACAAAAACCCAAATCCCTAATTGCTTAACTAAAGTCAATCAACTGAAATTCCATGCAATTAAGCCACAACTAACAACAACAAAAATTACCCATCAAATTTTTTGTTTCTTTTTCTGGGTGTCGGTGCTAAATTAAAATGAACTATTCAATGCAGATAGATCCAATTGAGAAAATATAAAATCAACCCACAAATTATATCAATAATCACGGAATTTCGAAGCAATTTCATCAACATTGCCAGCACAAAATCAATAATTTCATTAAATGAAAAAAAGAGGAGAGAGAAGAAGACCTTCAGCACGCTTGAGCCAGGAATCCATTGATTGACTTGAGCGATCAAAGTGATGAAATAAAATGGGATTAAATTTCTGAATTCCAAGAAATTTGTTCAGTTAAAGAGCAATTAAATTTAATTTGTTGTATGATTAACAAATTATACAACAAAAAAAAAATTAAAAAATTGAGAATATTTAGAGTATATCGATTTTGTCAAGAAATTCAGCTTCTGGGCAGCGCACAAAACAGGCAGACGTTAGTTAAAATGTGCCTTTCTACTTCTGTTTTGGGCAGCGAACAATACAACCAGATGTTAGTTGAGACTGGATTTGGGCCTTTGGGTTGGGTGAGAGGTGATTATGGGCTGGGCTTTGGTTACAAATATGGCTCGTTTTGTTATTTTTGGGCTAATGTATTGGGCTTGTCTTGGGTGTATTGGGTTGGATAGAACGGGCCAATATATGGGTCGGGATGATATAACCAAAATTTCTGTTTTGGACAATCCAAAATCTAATTATTAATAATGGGGTGGAAAATGTAAATCCAAATCTATGTGTTTTTTGGATCGGGCTGCTCTTGATATTGTTATGTACTTTCTTCGTTTTTAAATACTTGCAACATAGTTTTCGAGGTCAAATTATATAATGTAAGCGACTAAATCAATCAAAATTATATTTGCACATGATAGGATAGCTAACCCTTCTCTAAACCTAGTGTTAAAATTATTATGAAAACAAAATCTGTTTACCTTTACTAATCATCTCCTAAAACTGCTTGTCTAAAGATTGTGTTGTAAGTAAAATAAAACGGAGAAAGTATATTTGATATGGATTTTTTTAACTTCTTTTATACGTAGGTAAGACCGTAAGATATATGGTACACCGTACATGTAACTTTGATTGGACATATTCTTCCCAAAAAAAAAAAACAAACAAACTTTGATTGGTCGTAGGAGCGTTTTTGTAATGAATTTGAGATATACATAGAGCTATCTTGCACAAGAATCAGAATGTGTCAACCAACAATGTAGTAATAAATTAAGTATTACAGGTCTGTTCACTTCAGCTTGATTTCAATTCAGTGCCTAATTTTCTTTTCTCATAAAATATTCATTTCACCTCTATTCAATTCAGTTCAGCAAATGTGAACGGACCCTAACATACATTTAACGCTTTCAACTGATTCAAGTAAAATAAATCATAATCAAAATGAGTTACAATATGTAATTGATGAGTTACAAAGTTACGATGATTTCGGCCCTACGGGACCCTTCTTTGCACCATAAATAACTACTAAATAAGTATCATTCACTCCCATAATTTAAAGTATATTAGTACCACAATTTGCATGTGATGATTGTTTAAACGCAATTCATGAGCAATAAAGCTAGCTATTAAATTAGGGGATGATATGCCAACTTTGCAAAAAGCTGATTTAAACCAAAGCTCAAGTGCTTGGAATGACCTCCTGTACATTTTCTTTACCTAACAATCAAACTTGATACGTAGTAAAGTGACTTTAAAGTTTAAAAAAAAAAAAAAAAACAATTGTATAAAAATAAATTTGTGTTTTTTTAAAAAGGAATGCTTGTTTCTATAATCAAAAAAACATGTGGAGTGATCGAGCATATCCAGGTGAATCACGACCCAGATTCTATGCATAAACAACAGCAATATTAAGCAGGCAAAGATATTTTAGTTAGTGAAAGATTATCCATTTTTACTGTTTAGTACTCCTTAACACTTTGTGCGATATTTGATGATATTTTCTCTTTTGACATACAATACACGACAATATTTGTAGAATAACTATGAATAAATTAAAGTTCTTTTGATTTACAATATATGTATCATTTTACCATTATATTTACACTATTATACTAAATTTGATCAAGTTTTATAGCTAGAATTCATCATTATATAGTCATCTCAGTGTAAACATTAAAAAAAAAAAATAAATAATATAAAATTGGATGTGTATAAATTTTAATTTTTTGTTATATATTTAAAGTTATAAGAGCAACTCCAACGGTAAGCTGGTTAGCAAATTACAGATTGTTATGCCACATGAGATTTTAAACGAATAATCTATTTTGTAGTTAGTGATTTGCGCTTCAATGGTTAGCTACTAGCTTGTGATTTAATTTAGCCTTAATTTGTAAATTAGCTTTTTACATTTAATTTTATTAATATTTTAACCTATCTTTTTGGCAAGTTTTTCACAAGCACTAATTTTCTTGACCAATCTAATTTAATTTTTAAGCTCCTATGGTCAAGCGAGCTAATTAATAGCTTGGGGATTTCTAAATTGCAAGCAGGTTTCTAGCTACAGCCATTGGAGTTTCTCTAGATATCAAAATGATGCATTTAATGAAAATGTATATGATAGATAGAAATAATCGTAAACGCACATTATAAAATTTGAGCTAAATCTTGGCTACAATTTCCAAAAATCAACTAAATTAAAATAGCTACGGAATAAGCTAGATTGTTTTCATACTATGTGGAAATGTCCCTTCTACAACACGATCCATCCTCTTCTAAAATTGACAGTATCTTAGTCTGCAACTCGGTTTCCCTCTCTATCACATGTACTACGTATTATTTTTTTCGATTTAAAAACCATAATACCTTTCATAAACTCATTTTTTTAAATAATTATATATGAATGGTGACATCTTAGTGTAATCCCTCTAATTATTATTGGAATGGCTTTTTGGTAAAGCAAAAACAAACTACATGTAAAGTGATTCCAACTTCCTCGTGCTTTCCCCCTCATGCATGGCAGCCTATTACTCGTACATTTCTTTTTTCTTTTTCCTCAATTTAGTTAAACAATGGCACTAAAAGCCACGAAATAAATACCCTTAATCAACAATTGCCCAATCACAAGAATGAATGAATAATTGACAATATCTTAAAGGCAAAAGCTAATTAGCGCCTCCGGGACGTTAGATAAGAGAATTAAAGTGCAAATATTAGAGTAAAATTAACATTAATTACACCGAACGACGCGTGATTTTGTCATGAATTCATAACTTAATACCATTTCAATCAATATAATTTATCCTTAACTAACGCCTCGGGGCGCTCGTTAGCAAGATCGTATCTTAAAATACCCTAATAAATCCAAATTTACCAGCTCACTAACTTCTAAAAGCTAAGTATCCACATTTTCGATATTCCTCATCTTATTATTAAAAAAAGACATATATTCATTACAAGAAATAAAGCTAAGGATATCAAATGTAAGATATTATTTTAATAATCACATTTGGTAATAATTTCTATAATTAACCATGTACGTATTCCGTATAATATTGTAAATTTCTATAATCACATTTGGTAATAATGCGTGCAATATGCATGCTTGGCTCTTATATTCTTTATTGATCCAGTAATATAAAATCGTTATCAATTAATTTTCAATTATTGTAAAATACGGAATGTTTGAGTTGATAAGTATCGGAGGATATTTGTATCACGTACTTATTACACATAAGTTTAGATGAAATTCAATTTGCATATAAATTTATAACTCAATCTTTTGTCTATTTGATAATGTAGTGTAATGGTGTTGTGAGCAATAATTCGTATTACTTTTCATAATAATTCCTTGAATTAATTATTTTAGTTTTATGTTAGAAATAAAAACACATCATTTGTCTACACTCTACATGTATATGTCAATTAGTCCAATGATCCACTAGATAGTCAAGAATTATCTAAGAGAAATGAGCTAATTAATTAATAATAAATAATTATGTCAATTTCTCATTTTGCTTCTTAGACTTTGGGGTCATTGCATAGTTCAAGTATAAATTTATTCGATTGATATTCTTGGTTTGCCATACTCACCCATAACATAATACACCTAATTTTATGAACTTATCAACTGCTTTTAATGAATTCGAGGAGAAGAAAGTGCAAAGTCCACCAAAGTCTTCTTTTTATTTTTAACTTGTAAATTAAATTATGCAATTTAAAATTTCAAGCTGAACCGAAAAATAAAATAAAATGGTTGGTAATTTTGGTATTTAATTCACTCATCCACCCCCTAAAAAAACAAATAAACAGCTAAGGCCAAAAATAAAAGTACATGTCAAATTGTCAATTTCTTGGTCCCTCTATACTTCTTAACAAGAATAGCAACCAACCACTTTAATTTCTTTAATAAAAAAAAATACAAAAATACAATTTCAAAACACCTACCTCAAATTAATATACCATCAAATATTGCAACAACATATATTGGATCATCTTTATGGATCTAATTTGAGGATATATAATATACCTTGTAGTATCCTTTCTAAAAATAAATCCAATATAATCATATGGTACACCCTTTATGAAATCATCCCTTAATTGATAGTACATCATCAATCAACGAGCATATACGTGACAAGGGGATTCCAAAGTTTTTTGCATCATCAAATTCTTATAAAACTTTTTAATAAACTCGTCCGCGGCCTTATTAACCTTAACATCCTCCTCCTCCTCTTCCTTATTCCCTTTCCCGTCTTTCAACGGGAAAGGAGAATCCGTTACTCTTAATTGTCTGACCAACGGACTTTTCTCATATCCAAACCCGGGCAGGGCAACATTCTGTCCCTGCCCGCCAATTCCCATCCCCATCCCCATCCCCATTCCCAAGGGGGATGCTGTAGGCCCCTCATGGGTATTAAGCATCTCGAGGACCCTTTGGACAGCCGCCATGGTTGCAGGGTCCTCGAGTTGGTAGTTGTGGCGGCGGTGGTCATGCTTGGACTTAGACCTCTTTTGGTTAGCCATCATCATGAGTTGAAATGGGCCCGACTCGGGTGTGTTGCTACAACTAAACTCATAACCCTTATTAGGAGAAGTAAAGTGGTAGTTAGGGTTGTTAGGCTTACAAATAAGGGAATTGTGGTGGATTATAAGACCATTAATGGCCTTACCAGCTAATTCATTACCTCTCTTAAAGAGCAAATTAAGGTCTAAGATTAATTTGCTCTTTGAAATGCCTTTCTTTACCATCATCAACACTATTCGAAGAATGCTCCATAATTTTTTACCAATGATTTTTTTATTGCTTGGTTCTATTTCCATTTTTTAAAAAATATAAAATGTACTAGGTAGGTTTTTTTTATTTATTTATGGGTGTTTTTTTTTTGAAGGGGTTTGGAAGTAAGAAGAGAGAGTGAGGAGTAGGATTTTCTTTTGGGTTGATATGGAACGAAATGAGGGTAGAGGTATGTGAGGTATATAAAGGAAGAAGGAGCCAACCACAAAAAAAATTAAAATTAAAATTTTAAAAAATAAAATAAAGTTATATGGTATAGACTATAGAGTATATGAATTATATCTGTCAATAACTAAGAAAAGTTGGTGTGTGGCCCCAACATTTGTAAGACTATGTTGTTCATTTTTTTTTTTTTTTAATAAGGTAGATTAATTAATTTTTCATGTAGGTGGAGATTGAAAATATACCTTTAAATTAACAAATTTATTTTGAACTTTTAAGTTTTACTATTGATTGTGTCGGACTTATCTAAGTTAATATGATGTGTAAAATTAACTTCAAATACTACGTACTTTGTATATTACTATATACTCCGTAATAATAAAATGTTGCATGGTAGACTGGTAGTATATATCGACATGTGATACAATTTTTAAAACTAATAATCTTTGACTAATGTATCTTTAAACATTTTATTAGAGAGTAATTTTATTTTTCGAGTTAATTATGAAGAAAAAATAAAATATTTACCGAATATACATCAATAATACTTCGTATCATACAATAACATGCTCGTATGTATAATTGATCAAAGTAGCATTAAGGTCATGAACACCTCCTTCATTTTCTATGATTAAACAAAGTATAGCAACAATAAAAATTCTTATTAAAACTCGCTCTATATTTAAGTTTTTTTTAGTTACGTGACTTAAAAAGTACATCAAATACGGAGTATGAATCCTTCTTTTTAATATCAATTCACTATTCATGATCTACATCTCTATCTTATTTGATCACGAATCCTTCTTATATAGATCCATCAATTCACTATTCATGTTCTACATCTCTATCTTATTTGATCATCAAAACCTCCTCCAGTACAACATGTTGCACAATAGACTAATAGAGTGTGAAAAAAATTATCAAAGTTTGTAGCGTTATGTACTAAGGAAATCGCTCTCTATTAATTAATGATAGGGGAGGGGTAATTCATAGTTCGTAGCATTATGTATGGAAACCGTTCTCTATTAATTAATGAGGGAGACGGACAGAAGGGGGGGATAATTCATGGTTCGTAGCATTATCTATGAAAATCGTTCTCTATTTAATAGGAGGGGAAGGGAAGTAATTCATAGTGCTAACCACATCGAATAATGGTCCCACCCCAATTCGTGATGAGATTGAAATTGGGCGTATGTTGTGTGGATTGAGCCAGCTTAAGATGAGTTAAGCATGATTGAATAACATCACCTAACTCCATTATTCGTGGCAATTATCTAATGATATAATCATATGATCAACTACATATCTTAGAAGCCGTACACTTGATCTTCTATGAAATTTGATTGGACAATGTGATTCTATTATAGCATCTTTGCCGTTGATTAATTTTAATAATGTCACACATTTTAATTAAAGATTCTGTCTCCCTCCTAGCTTTCCTCCACTATTTGTACTGTTGTTGTACATCTTGTCCTTAATCATAGAGTATCATCTTTTATTCTTTTACATAGAGATCATAAGAGATACATAATTTTGTGAGTTACATATGCTATGGAGCGGATTGATACGTAATTTTATCATAAATACGTGCAGTATTATAAAAAAGTATCTTATTAAAAAGTATATTTTAATGTTCTTAACCCTTGAATTTTTTTTTTTACTATTTTTGTTTTAAATAGAAAGTTTTATGAAATAGTTTAAACGAAAAGTATTATTTATTTATGAGACGGACAACTGAATATTCATTAGGTAAACCTTTGAAGAATGAATCGACTAGGCATGCATGTATTGGTGGCTAGGTGATTCATATTTTTAGGCAACTTTTTGATGCATTATAGATATTTGTACAAGTCCAAAATTAATGAATGCGATGATAAATTCAACCCTAGCTTCCTAGAAGACGGGGATTACACTTTATAAATCCGCTATAATTTTATTGGTAAACTAGTACTCCAAACTACATAAGTATTAACTACTCCGTATCAAGTTGCATTGTAATACTTGTACCTCTAATTATGTTTCGTTGGACATATCATTGTATTAAAAAGAAATTAAAAATAAAGTTGGTGATTCGTACACCATGTAAGACTTGAAGTGTAGTTGAAAATCTGGAATCAATTAAGCTCAGTTGAATAAACTTTTGTACACCAAAAGCCATTACATTTACGTAGCAAATTATGAAAAGCAGAGAAAGGAGGAGCCTCAAAATTCTCAATGGAGTTCACTAAAATGATGCTTTCCTTAACCTGATTTTTGGCTAAAGTTTTGGGATTTGTTAAACGTCGCCCGCAAATCTCCACATAAAGCCCACAAATATTTTTACTTTGACTCTTTTGCCCTTTTTCTAATTTTTACCGAAACCGTAATTCACTCTCACGAAGAATGTGGAGCTGGAGTGGATCGCTGAGGGACACCGAAGAGCTGTCATCGTCGCCGGAAAGCGAGATAATCCGGGGGAAAAATTACGAAAAGTAGGGGTGGCGTCTGGTCAGGACGCCGCCACCATGGTCGTGGCGTCCTGGCCAGACGCCGCCACCATGGCCGTGGCGTCCTGGCCAGACGCCGCCACCATGGCCGTGGCGTCCTGGCCAGACGCCGCCACCATGGCCGTGGCGTCCTGGCCAAACGCCACCCCTACTTTTTGTAATTTTTTTTTTTTTTTTTTGTAATTTTATTTAAACTTTTTGTAATTTTTTTTAAATTTTATTTAAAGTTTTTGTTTTTTTTTAATTAAACATTAACACAAAAAATTCTGATTTAAAAAAAATATATACATTAGAAATAAAAACATTAACACATAAAACAAAAATATTAAACATTAACAAAAGAATTCTGATTTTCCAAAAAAAAAAATATTAGACAAAAAAAAAAAAAAAAGTGGTAGGGCGCCTGGCCAGGACGCCCAGCCCCTGGTGGTGGCGTCTGCTCCGGCCGCCGGGACCAGGGGGCTGGCGTCTGACCTGGACGCCCAGCCACGGCGGTGGCGCCTCTGGAAAACGCCACAACCGTGGCTAGGCGTCCAGGTCAGACGCCAGCCCCCTGGTTCCGGCGGCCGGAGCAGACGCCACCACCAGGGGCTGGGCGTCCTGGCCAGGCGCCCCACCTCTTCTGTTTTTTTTTTAAAATTTTTTTTTTAAAAAAAAACCCTGCCACCGTGAGCCGTCCTTCCCTCCGCCGCTGTGGCCGCCAAGTCCTTGCCTTGCCGCCTCAACATTGCCGTATTTTCGGGTGATTAGAGTGTGGGTATGGGTTAGATTTTTTTATTTTAGGTTTAGGGCAATAAGGTAAATTTAATATAGATTTGTGGGCTTTATGTGGAGATTTGCGGGCGATGTTTAGCAATCCACAAAGTTTTTTACTCCAATTGTTACTTGTAAGTTGAGACTATCCTTTCCCAAATTCCTGTGCTAATACTCCCTAGTAAAGTGAAAAATATAAACTTGTAAAAGTTAACTTTATATTTAATTATATATACTACGTATAGTACATCATTGGTTTTATTATTTTTTTTTTTATTTATTTTTATATACTTATTCCTTAATATCTTTAAAATAAAAAATGAATCATTGCCTCATTGGTAATCTAACAAGATCTTAATAAGGGTGTGTTTTGTTCACCTGATATATTTATCTGAACTTAATTGATTTTATCATTACTTAACTTAATTTATTTGAGCTTAACTACTTATCTGTACTTATTAAGGGTTTGTTCTCATTGACTGACCTCAGCTGAACTGAACTGAACTGAACTGAATTGAGCTGAACTGAACTGAAATGAATATTTTATAAGAGAAGGAAATTAGGAGCTGAGCTGAACTGAACTGAACTGAGCTGAACTGAACTGAACTGAGTTGAACTGAACTGAATTTCAACGTAAGAGAACAGACCCTAAATCTGAATTAAGGGAAAATAAGATGAACAATACAGAGCAAACCCCTAGTATTAACTACATGTAAGGAATTATATATACACATTGGATAGAATTTGATTATTTATGATGATTTTATCCAAAAATTGTTATATCCAAGTTTTCCTATGAATTTAATTAATTATTTCTTCATAAAAGCAATCAAAGCATCACATATTCACATTTGTCAAAAGTAGTTGATAATTATAATACCAAAATTGACATTTTGGTTGAAAACAATTGCTAACCAAGAAAAATTTGCAACTTTATTAGACATGATGTGATATGATAATTGACCTTTCAAAAGTCTCAACAACGAACAAGCGTAATTAGTTAAATTTTCTTTGTAAAAAACAAAACTATGTTAATTATGTTATATATGTTTGTTAGTTTTTCTCTCCCATAAAAGCAATTTGTTATTGTTGATAATTATCATACTGCTTTTGTTTGTTGATGAAATGATAAAAGCATAGGCTATTGCATTCTCATTATATAATTTCTTGGTAATGAAGCAAGCCTAGCCTATTTTATATCAACAATCTAGCTAGATTAATAATTACCTATTAAATTACCTTTTGAGATCAGACCTTGATACTAATAAGTTGCTACCCAATTAATTAAAGTGTTTTTGAATAAGCAATTTTATCGATTTAGGCCTTTTGACACCCATTTTATTACTTCTTCAATTGCAAAAATGCTCCTTAACCCGTCAAACAAGTCAAGTAAATCACTCAACAATTACACCAAAAATTACTATGTTGTAATTGTCAAATAAGTAGTAATAAGAGTATAAGAGATACATATGCTTGTTTGAAGAAACCCATCCGATTTATATTTAATTAAGAGATATGACTATTATTTCTAATGGGATTTTTTTTTTCTTTTCTGTTGGTTCGTATACAGATTAAAATCGTACGGTGAATCAGTGAATTTTTAGAAGATAATAATGCTCATTATGATATACAAGTATCTCATCATCTGTTTTTCTAGATATGATTTTCAAGTATACCTTTAATTTAATATATGTGTCATGCATTAGCTTCTTTATTTGTAAAGGGATATACCACATAATAAGGAAATTAAAAGAAATAAAAAATTTCCATAATCCAAAGTTCCAAACCCCATTGATCTAAGTTTCACCTTTAATGACTTTGATTAAGCATGTTAGTGACCCCTCAAAAGGGTTTGTGACTCTTTAATTTGTCCACACAATCAAAT